TATATCATTAGAAATCTCAAACATACAGTACATTAGAAAAAGCAAATCCAGTAAGTAGGTCAAGCAAAATTGCCTAGTTTAAAACTTAACGAAATAATCAGTATATAGTATATTATATATATTATATATTATTCTTTGATTATGTTTAATGAAGAGGCGGGTGTCACTCGGAAAACTCACATGTCCCCGCTTGTAATAAGTATCAGTTAGGATTTCCTTTAAAATATATGACTGTGCTTTTCACAAACATGCGAATTCTGTAAGTCACTCTTTCAAGTCACTTTTTTTTATTTTGTGTTCGGCGGGGCTTGTGTCACTAACCTTGTCGTATTCTTCTTATGCTATCGCTCTTCAAATAGTCTTCGATTAGTCTACGTTCAGACATGTAGCAAATTCGGACGTAAACAAACATATTTGTTTCGTCCCACTATCTCCACAGGACGTCCTGTCTTGTGGTTAGTTCTGCGGTTTCGATCCTTTGTTTTAGTGAAAGCCTTAACTTAAACTATGAAAACACACTGTTTACAACATAAAGACTTTGTTATTGCATGGGTACGAATCATCTTGGCGATGGGTACGAATCATCTCAACTTTGGGTAAGAATCGCCTGGCTACGAAACGTCCGGTAAGCCCACAAGGCTTAGTAGACGAAATTGGGAGATATGATGCGTGGAGACTTCCGGCCGTCTTTCCTAATTTGTAGGACAAGAGATATACAATGTTGTTCCCTTTCTGTTTATAAATTATGGTATTTATATGGCACTCGATGAGACAATGAAAACGATTCTTATTTACGTCTGACGTAGCAAATATAGAAATAACCCGCGATCAGGCCTCCCAAAGAAAATGGGAAAAGCTAAGGATCGCCTCATCCCAGGTTAATGATGAAAAATCAGATATCGTGAGAGAGTCCCTCCCTGCCCAGGATATCATCCAATACACAAAAGCAGAATTGTTTACTTTTTTCCTTGTTAGCATATACGCCTTATCTTTTTCTAAACGACTTTTAAAAACCGTTAGCACCGAGGGTGAATTTATTTGCAGCATATGCGTATCGGCCAAATGCGACTGCTAGACGCAAATATCGCAAATGAGTCCTCTTGCTGTAAAACAAAAAAAATACCAAGCATGTTTGTGCTCATTGCCCCCGCAGGGATTTCGCCCCAGAAGGCGAAATCCCGAGGAGGCACTCTAGTAACTCGCGCGTATATTAAGGAAAGTACTTACAGTTGAAATATACAGTCATACAGTCAATATAGAAAAAATCTCGATTTGCTTGAACAGGGGCCGCGAGGAATGATCAGGAATCGGTGGGTAATGATGACGTTTCTATTGTTTGCGCCCGGAAGCACGAAATGGTTAGGATGACGTAAAGACAGAACATCCCCAAGGGACCTCTTAGGTAGATTTTGTGTCATTTATTGTGCAGTCATACTTCGACACTCTTTTGCGTTACGTGTGATCAGTGACATTCTGTGGAGCAGTTGTTTCAGTGAAAGTTATGGCCCAAAATTTTAACGACGCTTGTTAAGCGCAGAAGAAGTTATAAGGTGCGTATAACTGTGTATATATAAACACTTGGAGAGTTTGCCAGACACGAGTTCACAAATCTTTCATTGGAAACCTTGCCAGACACTCTTTCTCTCCTAGCTTCTCACTAGCAGAACAATGGACGATTACAGAAATTCGCCGACAATCAAATTCTGTGCTGACTTATTCCCTGCTCACAGATGTCCTTCCGCTATAAAGTTTCAAATAAGACTAGAATGCGCGAGTGTGAATTGATCAAACGTCCTTTTAATTTCTAAGACTTCCTTTCCGGCAAATAAAATGAACTGAATGTAAAAAGGGAAAGAGAAATAGCGAAAAATTCAACTGCTAATTGAATCTTTTCTTCTGGTGTAGAATAAACTATTCTCGGAACTGAGAATGTTTTGATCAAAGATGTGTAAATGGACCTGAAACTGTGCATGGAACCTTGCGTTTCCTATATTTATCTCACCTATTGTATGGAATATGAGTGAAAATCTTCCTTATGAATCGGTATATTTCAAAGAGCTACACAACGAGCAAGAATGCTATTGACCCGCAATTTATAGAGCGGGGGCAGCTGTAGTGTCAACTATTGCTAGTTTATCCTTTTATGAGCCAGATATTTTGCATAAACAATGCAACCGTATATAACAAACATAAATAACCATATATAGCTAGATTAGCTGATTTATTATTCATCGTTGTCATTTATCGCGTGCATTTCCACTGAACTTGATCGCCAGATTTATAGGAATCAAGCACCATACAGAATTACATTTACTTTAACCCAACGAAGGATTTACACAATTTCGAGCAATACTGACAAGAAAGCGAGGTTGCCAGTGTGATAACACAGCAAGCCACACGTTCAAGCGGTTACTGAACAGACATTTTAATCTCTATCAAGTGCCCCCGAAAGTACAAACGAAACTGAATATACAATGAGTCTAGCAGCACGTGCAAATGAAATTCAACACTGGGCGTGAAAATTACAACATTATAACACCCTTCCGTTTATAGAGAAATAAGAAAACAACTTAACGGAAAAAAAAACACGTGAAACCAAAACAAACGACTAAGCACATATTAATGAAATTCAGTTCTTTGGAAAGAGTTCTTAGGCCTAAGTAAGCACATAGTCCTGTAGACGCTTGGGCGACTGACGGACGCGCGTGGACCTTCTCGGTGCCTGTAAAGGATTGGGCGACTTAGGTGCGTCCGGCACCGAAGACAACGGATTGGGCGGCTGGTCGAATGTTTCCACGCGTGTACCTGGAGGTGCCTGTTTGTGTGTATCTTCGCGTGTCTTTGTGTTTCTATTGTGCTTGGAATTAACCAAAGGCTCCTAGGAGCTAGCTCATGGATGAATTGAATTAGTGCAGAAAAAACATTCCATTTTGAGATTCAGGTGTTTTAAACTGCTTGGGCACTGTAACAGACTCACTTTTCTCCTTCGTTTTTTTATATCTTTCATGACTTTCTGTGTGTTGATACTGTACTCGATAAATCATGTCTACATTTCTTTACCATTTGATTTTTAGCAGGTTTTTTTTTTGGCATACAGTATTTAGCATTTGGTTTTTGCATCTGCTTTAGGCATTAAGTGTTAAGCATTTCGTCAGCGTTTCTTCGGTAACTTTTTGGCATCTCTGTAGCACTCACGCTTTCCACCAAGGACTAGGGAGTCCCTTCCTTGCCCGAGGCTGTACGTGTTCTGACCTTAGGAATTCAAACCCGACACAGTCGAAGTATCCGATTGCATGTTCACCTGAATATTCTACAAACTTATTAAAGCGTAGCATTTCTGCTTAACGCAAAGATCACTTTAAACTTATTAATTTAACGCTTTCTAGTCGTAAAATAATTTGCTTTCTCATGTGACTGCCAAACGCTTTCCGAACGATAGTGCACTTTCTTGTAAAATAGCTAAGTTTTACATGAGGCCGAGTTTTATTCAAATCGTGGTTTTCAACGGTTATTTTAAAATGGACCTCGAGGGTTTCCTATAAGTGCTTTTAAATAAATGTTTCCATATGTTGTTCGCAAAGAGTATACAATACAATACAATACTTTTTTATTAATTCTCCCCGAGGGGCTTTTCAGAATTAATTTACAATATGTATATATAATACAGCTGAGACTAATGATATACATGTTCTTGATATATAAATAACAACTTAAAATTACTACTTCTAATAATAACTAACATTGTAATAATATACTATGGTATGTATACCGGTATCCTATTTCTTCATTAATTCTACCTTTGCATGCTTTTTAAATGAGCTTAATGATCGGGCAGTCCTAGTGTTGTTACTGAGACTATTCCACGCTTTTGCTGCCCTATAAAAGAAGCCACTCTGGGCAGCCGCTGTCCGGCATCCTGGCAGGTTTAGATCTTCACTGTTGCGGAGATTGTAAGCGTGCGCATTGGATCGCTTCCCTATTTTACAGCTAATATATGCTAGCACTAAATTGTTAACACATTTGTACATCATTTTGACGTCCCGCAACCAAGTATGTTAGTATATGTACTACGAGCTATTAAATACAGAATACAGGCGTTTATGGTTACATTAAACTGTTTTAAAACGCGCTTTTGCCAAACACTAGCTAAAAATTATTTTAATAAACGGACTGAGCTCGAGGCTGTACGTGCTCTGACCTAGCTAAGTAATTTAACGCAGTCGAAGTATCGACAAGTATCCGATTGCCCTTCTGTACTTGAGTATTCTAGAAACTTGTTTATTCCAGCGCAGCATTTCCTGTAAATAAATGGAATCACCGACAAACAGCCTACTGGGCAAAGATCACCTTTTTACAGAATTCAAGCAAAATTGTCCAGATAGTAATAAACCACAATAGATACTCCTCAACGTCGCTTTAACAATTCGAGGACAGTTTTTCGGCAGCTAGGGCTTATTATTCGCTTTTCGCTGAGCGAAATCCCATCATCACAGTCAGGCTGCGATAGCTCTTTCACACTCCTGTCGATCGCATCGTCTCCATCAACCTGATAAAGTAAACGTGCACAGTTCGTCCAAATATACAACAATGATCCACGCTCACTTATTTCAACGTCCTTTTAACAACTCCAAGTCCATTTCATGCCGATGATATTGTCAGTGTTCTTTTGAATATTTCAATTCATACAAAACCCATCTTCGGATAGGCTGGCTACTCTATGATGTGTCGGAAAAAAATGTACGCCTTACCAGTACCATCTAGAATATGCCAAACATATGCGTAAAAGGCACTTAGAACGAAAGTGATACTAAGTAAGGGAGGTAAGAGTAAAGTGTTTAATCTGACTTTAATGAATAAATTAATAAGAGTCGAGTGAGTGAGTGAGTGATCGAGTGCCATTCGAGTGCCTCCAAAAGCCCATGGCATGACTACGTCATCCATGAGCTAAAACCGAGCACAATACAATCACGGATTAAACTATCCCGCAAACAATCGCAAAAATTACATGTTTTGGCCAGATTCCTCAACTCGGCAACAAAACTATCAACCGACTCCGTTGGAAGCTTGTCTCTCATATTAAAACAGTATCGTTCCCAAATTTCGTTGACTTCGTCGATGCAATGCTTCTCCATTTTTTCCATTACAACGCGTCAATCACTCGAGTTCTCCCCCTCGGCGTAGTTGAATGTTTTGATGACTTTCAACGCATCATCTCCGATCGTATGTTTGAACATCGCCAACTGAAACTCCGGGGTTTCCCGATCCAAGCGAGAGATGAGAAAATAATTGTTATATTTCTCCTTCCAAAGCTTCCAGTTTTCGGCAATTTCTCCACTACGTTTCAAGTCAAGGTACTTCGGCGGAGTGATCTGATGAAAAGTCGACGATGGCGGCGCTACCGCACCAGACTGTCCATTGGAGGTATCACCACCAGGCATGCTGTATAACGTAGACGGTTAAAAAAAAAAAACAAAAAAAACGAAGCAGAAGCGGCCACCGCTGCCACCATGTGATAACGCAGCGAGCCACACGTTCAAGCGGTTACTGAACAGACATTTTAATCTCTATCAAGTGCCCCCGAAGGTACAAACGAAACTGAATATATAATGAGTCTAGTTCAACACAGGGCGTGAAAATTACAATATTATAACAGGCAACAACTACAAACATTTTGGGATTACGAGCAAGCGAGCACTCGTCTAAATTTTGCGAGCAAATCGAGCAAAGGTAAAATTTTGCGAGCGGTTAAAAATTTTAATGGACCATTCATCACCCCTGTTATTTGAACCAAGTCCAAACGTGAAAACGCACGTTTATTTATCTTACTCAGTCCCAAGTATATGACTATGATTACCGATTCAACAAGCCGCAACATCGAAATAAAAAGTTAAATCAAGCTTTGTAGTGTGAACAAGCTAATTTTGTGGTAAGTACTATGTATGCTAATGAAAACTCCCTCTTCCGTTAGTATGAGCGCCGTTCAAGTCACAAGTCTACACAAAGAACGCTTTAACTTTATTTATTATTTGTCATCTTGCTAAGTTAGATGAAAGTACGCAAACGGTGCAACTTCAGAATACCCGGACACATTATATACATAAACTAGTTTATAGAGTTAGAAGATTCAACAAGTCGCAAAATCGACGTAGAAATTGAACCGACTGTCAAGTGGGGCCGAAGCTAATTTCGTATATGTTAATGAAAAGTCTAACGTTCTTTAGCTTAAGCGCTGCTCGCGCTTCACAAGTCTACACAAAGACCGTAAACAGTGGTTTCTTTAGTGCGCTGCTCGCGCTTTACAAGGCTACACAAAGACCGTAAACGGTGGTTAATTTCATTTTTATACACATCTTAATGTTCAGTTTTACAATCACACGTTTCTTAAATCATTTGAAGCAAAATATCTTTCACACATTCTATTCGTAGACGATCGGGTTCCGCCATGATAAAGTTTTTAAAAACATTCGAACTTTTTTTTGAGATGTTTTAGCGCGTGGTTTTTCTAGATATCGAGGATAGAATGGAAGGAATAATACAAGGAACAAGGACTTTTAACAATATCTTATCTTTCTTATGGCCTCGTTGCCTGGGGCCAGGCTGCAAAAACTCATTTGGAGAAACTCCTTACATTACAAAAGAGAGTTGTGCGCGTAATTAACTTCGCATCTTTCCGCTCTCATGCCGTCCCTTACTTTCTTCACTAAAATATTATGCCTATTACAATGCTCTATTTTAAGCTTTCTTCGATGTTAATGTTTGATGTTTACAATAACACTGCCCTTCATAATATTTCACATCTCTTTATTCCTACTCAACAAATCCACTCTTACAGCACTCGCTCCTCCTCTTCTGGAAATTATTACATTAACCACTCTAGACTAAATCAGAAAAATGATTCGTTTTCTATTATGGGAGCCAAAATTTGGAATAGTATACCTGAAAATTTACGAAATTCTTCAAAATCTCTCTTTAAGGAAAAAGTTCATACAATTCTGTTGAAAATATTTGAAGTTCAGGATAGATATGCTGACCTAAACACGATAATCTCCGATTTTAAAAAATATTAAATATGGTACTTTTTCACTTCAACTATTCGTAATAAATCTTAAGCCGTCTACACACCACCTGCCTCGATTAGCCTTGCTATTTGCAGGTGGTGTGATATTTGTATATTTAATGTAAGAAATAAAGATGTTGTTGTTAAAAAAAAAAAAAAAAAAAAAAAAAAAAAACAATTAAGATTTAAAGCTTCAACATATGAATAGTAGGCGAACTGACATATAAGACGTAGGCGAATCGACTCCAGTCGTAGACACTTATGTGCCCTATAATATCTAACCTATAGACACATACATGTTCAACCTCAATCATCCCCAAAATAGCCTGGAAGCTTTACCTTTCCATGACCTGGATGACAGAGAATTTCAGATTCTAGATGGATCCTGTCACTTGCAGATAGATAATTTAAAAGATTTAGATTTATATAATTTGCTACCCAACCCTGATAAATCTGATGATGCTGACCCTGATCATATATCAATTAACCCTCAATCTGATTACTATGATATTTCTAGTTTGAATAAGGTTCTAAGTAAATCAGGAGCAAAATCCTTCTCATTTCTTCACTGTAATATTAGAAGCCTGTCAAAAAATATTGGCTTGCTTGAAGATATGCTGTATTCTTTAAGTGAACAACTTGATGTATTAGGAGTTTCTGAAACCAGGCTAAATGCAAATACCACTTTGAATACTGAGTTGATTAACTATAGCATCTAGCTGATTCTCCCACCCCAACGGGAGGGGTTGCTCTTTATGTCAGTAAAGCTTTAACATCATTTCCAAGGTCAGATATAACTTTGGATATGCCCCTTGTGGAATCTGTTTGGGTTGAAATAGCTACTCCCAAAAACCAAAAACCCATCTTGGTTGGCTGTATCTACAAACATCCAGGTGCGAATATTGATGAATTTAATGGGAAACTTGTCGAAACAATGAAGATATTTGACCCAAACATGTGCCAATTGTATATCCTTGGTGATATGAATATAGACTTTTTTAAATGTGATAGTCATCCACCTACAAAGGCTTACCTTGACATGCTATATTCTAATAATTTATTACCAATTATTACTAAACCAACACGTCTAACCTATCATTCAGCTACATTAATTGATCATATCTATACCAACAGTACATCCAAAATTGTCTCTGGGATTGTAATGGTGGATATCTCTGATCACCTCCCAGTTGTCTGTGTTACAAATATACCAGTTAAGAAACACAACCCTATTAAGTATTATCGAGATTACAGCAATTTTGATCAAGAATCTTACTTAGGGGATATCAATGCAGTCAACTGGAATGCTATCTATAGAAATGATCTGCATGAGACAGCTACTAAAATAACTGACCTGATTAAATCAATTGCAGATAAACACGCACCAATTAGGCAATTGTCCCAAAAGAAACAGAAATTGTGTACTAAGCCGTGGATAACTAATGGTATTCTTAAATCAATCAAAACTAAGCATAAATTATACAAAACACACTTTCTTTCTAACAATCCAATTAAGGTGACGGAATATAAAAAGTATGCTAACAAACTGAATTGGCTTAAGAACATTTGCAAAAAGAACTACTTTTCAAAACACTTTGACCTATGTAAAAACAACCTGAAGGCATCTTGGAAATTGATTGGTATGCTAGTTAAGCGCAACTCAAAGGGACAAAACCCCATCTCGAAAATTAAACGTAATAATAGAGCTTACACTAATAAGGCTGAGATTGCCGATCAATTTAATAAGCATTTTGTCAATGTGGGTCAAAACCTGGCCAAAAGAATTGATCATTGTGATGGAAGTCCGACCCAATTCATAAGATCGACTCCAGTAGCTAGGTTTGTTATGTCCTGTGTTACTGAAACCCAAGTATGTTCACTATTTAAAGGTTTAAATGATCATAAGTCATCCTTAGATATTCCTAATAAATTAATTAAAATAGCTGCCCAGCCATTGTCAATACCTTTAACATATATCTATAACCAGTCTATTGAAACTGGAATTGTTCCTGATATTTTAAAAGTCTCACAAATTTCCCCAGTGTGTAAGGGTGGTGATGCTACAGATCCTAGCAACTATCGGCCCATAGCTACTCTCTCACCTTTTAGTAAAGTGCTCGAGCGTCTAGTCTATAATCAGTTATATTCGTTCATAGATAAACATCAAATCTTGTACAAATATCAGTTTGGATTTAGGAAAGGATATTCCACTGAACAAGCTATTCTTGAAATTACTGAAATTACTGACAATCTGAAGCTAGCTACTGACAAAGGTTAAATAACATGTGGTTTATTTCTCGACCTATCAAAGGCATTTGACACAGTAAATGATAAAATACTACTCTCTAAACTATATCTGTATGGAATTCGGGGTGCACCACATAATTGGTTTGAAAGTTATTTGCACAATCGAAGACAATATGTTAAAATTGACTCTACTAAATCTAGCTATGAAACTATTACCAGCGGTATACCCCAAAGCTCTTTTATTTTTGCTCTATGTGAACGACTTACCAAACTGTGTCGACAAACTTTCGGTGTGGAGCTTTGCTGATGACACCAATTTATTTTACTCTAGCGACAACTTAAAACAGCTTGAATCCGTAATGAATCAAGAGCTTAAACAACTTTATAACTACTGTGCTCTAAATAAGTTATCTATTAATACTGCAAAGACTAATTACATGTTAGTCTCATCATCTAGGTGCCACCCAACGATAAATATCACTGGTATTGAACAGAAAGATTACATAAAGTGCTTGGGAGTTTATATAGATAAACATCTCAACTGGCAACCACAGATACAACATGTAAATAATAAATTAGCCAAGAATTTAGGAATCCTTTCAAAACTAAGACATTAAATAGATCTGAATATACTGAAACAAATTTATTATGCTTTAATACATCCGTATTTGAGTTACGGTATTCTTGCTTGGGGCTGTGCCAGCAAAACCAGATTAGATTGTCTTCGTATTAA